ATGCAGAAAAGCAGAAAAAGTGTCTTGTGCATATACTGGCAGTTGTTGGCATCTAGCACCTTGCAGATTTCCCTCATGATGTCACTAGGATCCATGGCGCTAGTGATTTTCATGCTCCAGGTGAAGTGCAGGGAGCGAGGTTTTGCTTGTTGGTTCTCCTTTCTCTGCTCAGCAGAGACATGATGACTTGAGCCCTTATATCTCAGGGTCTTCTCAGACTCAGCTGGAGGCCTTCTTGTGAATTTCGATGTTAACTTAGTAAAAGCTCCCGTGGTGCCTCTTTGAGTCTGGGGCAATTCTTCAGCTGGATGGAAGCAGCTGGGTGAGGCAAGAGGACTTTCCTGTGTTGCAGTTTGGCATTCCCGGGGCTGGCGGTGGAACATTCGACGAAGGGCACTGGCTCTGGGGAAGCAGATGCGGCCTCAGGTGGAGGTACTTGGGACACTGTGGGTTGAAGTCGCTGGAGGGCTCTGAGGAGGGAAGGTGCTGTTGTTCTGACCATTCCGGCTCACTGAACGTGTGTCTGCTTTGGTTGTTTTGCAGCAAATGTACTTACTCCACAGTGTCCTCCCTCCAGATGTTGTGCTGCTCTGGTAGGCAGCAGGCATTTTCTTGAATTCGGGAGTCTCCAGCTCCTTGGGACTGGTGGTGATCCCAGGTACGGGCCTGGCTGGAGAAATTCCCTTTCCTCCCATAGCACTGCCGCCGGATTTCTGGGAGGCCATTGGATGTTCTCTGAGGTGACTGTGGGCAGTGCTGGTCGGATATGGCCCAGTTCCAGCATGGTCCAGGGACTGTGTCTGCTTGTGAGTGGAAACGCTTCGCTGCAATTTGCGTTGAGGAGGCCAGCTGGTGCTCTTTCTCAGGACCCTGCTTGGCTGCACCTTAGCCAACAAGATGTTTCTGTGGGAGACGGCCACCTCTGGACCAACAAAGGGTTGGAGGACATCAAGGCCTCTGTTGATCCACCTGTCTCTCATAATTTTGGCCAGGGTACTTCGCTTAGTTGGATTGAGCACCAGGAAGCGTTTCAGCAGATTTTCACATTCTGTTGACGTGTACAGAGGGATTTGGTATCTACCCTGTCGCACTCTGTCTCTAATTTCTCTCACATTGCCCCCAACAAAAGAATGCGACCCGGTGACTAGGGTGTATAGAACCACGCCAAGACTCCACACATCAACTTCTGGACCATTGTACTTTATGTGCTGGAAGAGCTCTGGGGCTGTGTAGGGAGGACTGCCATAAAACATGTTGAGTTTATACCCAAGTGTAAACTCATTACTGAGTCGAAAGTCAGTAGCTTGATGTTCATCTGTGCATCTAATTACAGATTCTCCTCCTTCAGGTGACCTGTGTTTGGTGACATTATTGGACTGCAACATGATCTGCCGGAATTTAGTTCTTGCCTCCTCTTCTTACAGTCTTCCTTTCTCAGCCAGATAGTCCAAAATTTCACTGTCACAGGAGTACTCCAGTATGAGTCAGAGTGCTTTTTGGTGTTAATAACTTCAAAGAGCTTCACAATATTGGGTGATTTAACATCTTTAGGATTCTGACCTCTCGGAATAGCTTTTGTAGAACTTCTGGCTTCAGGAATCTTTTGTCAATGATCTTTATTGCCACTTCTTTACCTGTGAGGATGTGACCACCAGGTTGTTTTCGCCAAGGTTCCCTTGCTGGTGGTTTTCACCACTCTGTAATTTTCAATGTGAGGCTGTTCACCTGCAGAGGAAGCTGTGGCTTTTCTACACTGTGCTCCAGAGTGCCCGGTGTGGGAGGTATATTCTGGCTGTCCATCTCCATGTGAGGTGTGCACAGTTTGACCTAAGTTCTTTTTCATTGAAAATCTTCAATGATATATGGGTATCACTTCAGTGGGTCTGGGTATCACTGGCGAGTTTAGGACAGGTGAGGGCTATGCAAGGGAAGGGGAAACAAGGAAAGAGTTAGAGATGGGTTGGGAAAAGAATGCTATCAAAAATAGCTGAAGTGCCTTTTACAACCAAAGATAGTGCCCAGTTCAAATAATCACTCTGGGTACATAAAAGACTAAAAGGCAAATGAGGAGTTGTTCTAGGTCCACTCATTTCTAGGGTTCTCAGTCAATTCAGTCATAAAGTACTGACTCCTTAAAGAGTGGTCATATGCACCCTAAGTGGATGAAGGATCCAGGCAGTTACTCTGTCTATGGAACTTGACAATTTGGGGGTCAAGACCTGATGAAAACGAAAACTACTTTTTTTTTTCCAGAAATATGCAGCTGGACATGAACACACTTTACCAATCAATTTGGATGGTAAAGTTGATTGGTGAAAGCACTGGGGTTATAAGAGTGGTCCACTTTACCTTTTGAATATAACCCTGGCGGCTTATTTTAAAAGGGGAAATCTTTTTCTTTTCCCCTTCTCCCTGTCTCCCTCCCTAACCTGGGGGCAGGGAACAAGATTGCCTTGAATTATCTGTTCTCCACAGGAAGGAGAAGTCACCAGAAGAACTAGGAAGTGATGATCTCCCAAATAAACTACTTAATCATAACACACCCTCAGGATGCACTTGGGACCCCCTGGCAGGGCACATCTGGAGTGGAGCCTTTCAATAGCTTCCTTAAAAACCCCCCATTGAATCAAAGCTTCTGACAAAGGAGTCCTTTGTGTTTCCCCTTTGGTGGAAAAGCAATAAACCTCCTTTTACCTTGATCTCAAAACCTTCTCCTCATTGTTGCATGGCCATCAGGGACAAGGCCCAAGGTTTTTGGTAACAGGTCAGGGACCCAGGCTCTAGTGTATTGCTCATCTGCTTTTTTTCCTAGTGTCTTTCAAAAGTCTTCAAAACTTCTTTATTCAATAATTATAGATTTAGGGGCTACAATATGAAAATAACAGTTTCACCTCTCTTCTTTGTAAAAGTGGACTTGCATTTCTGCCAAATACCTGTATCTTTAAAAGAGATTATTAAATTTACTTCAGGTATTGAACATGTTGGCTTTTTAATATAAATAAACAAAATAAAATGCGTCACACATGTGGCCAGTTAAGACTTAGGAGTCATTCTCAAAATAAACCTGGATGCAATTTCAAGTGCAGCCGCACTCCATATGTTGAAATTTTATATCTTACCCTATGATATGATTTTTGGAAATTAAGTCATTTTTTGAACAAATACAAAATATTCAAAAATGTGCCTGGCATATGGTTTGTACTCATCAAATACTTGTGGAATAAATGGTTTACCATTGCTTTGTATTCTTAATTACTAGAGTGTGTGTGTGTGTATGTGTGTGTGTGTGTGTGTGTGGGCACATGCACATTGGTGCAGCATTTCCTTGTTAATAGCAGTCTTGTCCATATTGAATGCTTTCACACATTACATTGTAATAGAGCTACACACATCTGGTGTCAATGTAACAGTGGTCCACCTTTTGTTTTGAAGAGAGCTCTTGTTGCTCTGTCCCTGTAACTCATTTTTTAAATAGATATAATGTAAAGGTAAAATTTCTAAGCTGATTCTAAGCTGCAAAAGCTTGAGTTAAAGTGTAAAAGACTGGGCATTGTAAAGCTTCTAAATTACAAGGCCTGGGCTAAAAAGTAAAAGACAAGGTATTGTTACAATTCCTCTGCTACCACCGGAACCTGTAATCTCTGTAGTTGTTAGGACAATGCTGGAACTACCCAGTAAATATCTCCATTGATTCCCTGGTTGTTTAATAGCTAAGGGCTCCAAGTAGCTTGGCACATAAGCATCCAGGTCCCAAAACCTATCAGTTTAAATGTGTACCCTGCTTAGGAGTGACCAATAACCCCTGCCCAGACTGTTCCCGCCAATGAATGTACTAATCCTGTCTCAGAGTTGTTGTTCAATTTTCCTGCACCTCATGATGATTTGTTCTGATGTATGCAAAGCCCCCCGCCTTCTCCAAAAAGTGGGCTGCTCTCCCTTCACCAAATTTATAAAGCAATCATAATACTCTCAAATGTCTCATCTTTTTAAAAATGCTCTAATTGGAGCACATAACAATAGAATAAATTTTGATACATCCTACATAAATGGAGAACAACTTCTCACTCTTCTGCTAGTATTGTAATATTCATGTAATCATATATGCAACACAGTAATTATATCCTATTACCCTTCTTACACCATATCCACTCCCTTCCCTTCCCTTCCCTTTGTGTAACTTAAAGTACATCTATTCTTCACTAGCCCCCACCTCCCTATTGTGAGTTAGCATTCACATGTCAGAGAAAACCTTCAGCCTTTGGTTTTTTGGATTTGCTTATTTAGCTTAGTGTGATATTCTGCAGTTCCATCCATTTACCTGCAAATGATATCATTTCATTACTCTAAGGCTGAGTAATATTCCATTGTGTATATACACATTTTCTTTTTTTCCATTAATTATTCTACTTTGTTATACATGATGGCAGAATGCATTTCATATTGCACATATGAAACATAATTTTTCTAGTCACTGTACAT